AAAGAGTGCTGGGATCAGATGACCCCAGCCAGATGCCTATCCAGACTTCTCTTAAAGACCCCCAAGGTAGGGGAGAGCACCACCTCCCTTGTAAGCCCATTCTAGGTTTTGGCTACCCTTAACATGAAGAAGTCTTTCCTGATATCTAGCCTAAACCTATTCTCGGTCAGTTTGTGACCATTGTTCCTTGTTACCCAAAGAGGTGCCCTGGTGGACAGAGAATCTCCAATCCCTCGCTGCATCCCCCTAATGAATTTGTAGGCAGCCACAAGATCACCTCTCAGCCTTCTCTTGCAGAGGCTGAAGAGGTCCAGGTCCCTCAGTCTATCCGCATAGGGCTTGTCCCGTAAGCCCCTGACCATACAAATGGCTGTCCTCTGGACCCTCTCAAGTTTATCAACATCCTTCTTGAAGTATGGCACCCAAAACTGGATGCAGTACTCCAACTGTGGTCTGATCAATGCCACATAGAGGGGAAGTATCACTTCCTTGGGTCTATTTGTGATGCATCTGCTGATGCATGATAAAGTGTGGTTAACTTTGCCGATGATTTCGTCACACTGACAACTCATGTTCACCTTGGAGTCCACTATGACTCCGAGATCCCTTTCCACTTCTGTGCTGCTGAGAGGGTCACTTCCCAGCCAGTAGGTGTGTTGGATATTTTTGTGCCCTTGGTGCCGGACTCTGAACTTGTCCTTGTTGTACTGCATCCTATTGTGTACTGCTCACTTCTCTAACCTGTCCAGGTCTGCCTGCAATCGTCCCCTACCCTCCGGAGTGTGCACTTCACCCCGCAATTTAGTATCATCCACAAACTTGGACAAAGCACACTTCACACCCACATCCAAGTCACTGATGAAGATATTGAAGAGTGCAAGGTCCAAGGACCGAACCCTGCAGGACCCGACTCTCCGCATCCTTCCAGGTCAATACTGACCCATCTACTACCACACTCTTGGTGTGACCGCTAAGCCAATTTGCCACCCACTGGACTGTGTAAACATCTATATCATAGTCTCTTAATTTATTTATGAGGATGGGATGAGATACCGTATCAAAGGTCTTGTTAAAATCCAAGAAAATGACATCCACCTCTTCTTCTGTGTCTAAGCATTTTGTGACCCTGTCATAAAACGAAATCAGATTGGTCAGGCATGATCTACCTACTACAAATCCATGCTGGTTTCCCTGCTGCATTATTTTTCCCACTGGACTCCGACACATATGATCCTTCATAATATTTTCAAAAACCTTTCCAAGGATGGGGGAGAGACTGACTGGCCTGTAATTACTTGGAACCTCCTTCCTCCCCTTCTTGAAAATAGGGACCACATTGGCCCTTTTCCAGTCCTCCGGGACCTGACCGAAGCACCACGAGCACTCAAACAGCCGTGCCAGTGGTTCTGCTATGACACCGGCCAATTCCTTCAGTACTTTCAGATGAAGCTCATCCAGGCCTGCTGACTTGAACATATCCAGTCCATCTGAGTGACTCTGCACCAAGTCAGCGTCGACAGTTGGTGAGCTGGTGTCCCTCTGATGCCCGTCTAAGAGCCCATTAGGAGACTTATCTTGACCCACTGAGGCAAAAAAACTCATTGAATAGATCAGCCTTGTCCCCCCTGTCTGCCACTAATATTATTATGCCTGATATTATATGCTCTTAACTTTAATTGTGGAGGCATGGAAGAATGGAGATGTCAAAGGGAATTGATTCCATAGTTTTCTGGAGAATGTACAGTTGTGCTTATTCTTAGCGGCTCTGTCTTTGTTGACCTGTTTGAAGCATATTCATCAAGGAAGTATAACACAAACCTGAGCCAACACAGCCTGAGGGAACTAAAATTATATTCCATAAAGGACTGTTGCAACTTATTTCCAAGAGGATGGAAGAGACGAGCAAAGGAAGTACTGTAACTGAGTCACAGTTCTTTGAGAGCTTCCTCAAGAAAATCACAATTAAACTCTGCCCCATATTCAGTGATGAGGTTTCTGGCTTATTTGAATCCTGAAAATAATAATAAGAAAACTTATCATTTAAATCAGGACCAGAAAACTATAGCACTTGTAATCCATAAGGGGTTAAAACTGATGAGGAATAAAAGCAGAAATTACTTACTGGAGTTATAGTTATGTTAGGATAGTACATGCCATAACAAATTCACAGCCCTAACTTGTTATATTTATGGATATCAACCTGGGTACAATATGACAATTTAGATCTAAATTACCTATCAAGTCTTCCTGAGTCATGTTGTAAAAGAGCACTGAGTTCTCTGACAGACTCAGAAACACGTGGCTATGTAAAATTGACTGTAACACTATTTGATTCCTTGGTGTGGTTTCTAAGCTGGGAAAGAATGGTGCCAGTAGAAGCAAAAGCATTGTGGGGAAGGGAGTAGGGAGAGACTTCCAAGAGACACTGAGGCCCCCTCTAAATGTTACACTTAAGGTGTGATTAACCAGGTAATCACATCTTAAATTGTCACCTACCTATACTTGCAACCAAATGATGGCATGATAAAACAAGCAATAAGCTCCAAAGGTATTCCACAAAAATGGGCAATAACTTTGTAGCTTGTTCTAATCACACCATTAATTGAATGTGTGGCCTGGTGCTCCCCTGTGGCTGAGAGCCCCATCAACTAAGGAGCTCCCAGCCACAGGGGTGCACCACAGGCTGCCAGCCTCACAGCTGAGAAGGCTCTTAGTATTGTCAGTGTTGTCAGCTGCAGGGCTTGCATCATGGAGAATGGTGCTCTCCCCTGCAAGCAGGAGCAGATTAAGATTCATTGGGGCTCTGGACCAGGCCCCCCACTACAGCCCAGGGCCCCCCCTGACCCATGCCTTGCCCTGCAGCCGCGGGCTCTGTCCCTAGCCAGTGCAGTGGGGTCAGCGGCCAGAGCAGGACACGCTGCCCTGGGACAGGAGCAATGGCTGCCCCTGCCCACAGGTTCATGCTGGAGCTGGTGCCAGGGGTGTGGAGCCACTGCCCTCTGGGTCTGAGCGATGTAGACCAAGTTCTAGGTGGAGGGCCCTTGCCCCACCACAGCTCAGTCCAGCTGCAGCAGCACCCAGCAAATGGCACCCAGCAGCCACAACCCACAGCTTTGCACATGCCCAGCCTAGCCTCTGATTTCATCTGTGCCAAGGCAGGGGCCCATGGGCCCGAACCCAGCTGACCTGTGCATTAATCCACCTATGCCTGCAAGCATTCCCAGCTGTGGGGCTTACAGTGGGGGCAGTAAGGAAAACGCTGCCCTTACTGTGAACCTTGTGAGGTGTAGGGCTTGCAGTGGCAGCAGCGATCCCCCACACTGCTGCACTTGGGAGCCAGAAATCTCACAAGACTTGCAGCAAGGGCAGTGTTCTTTTCACTGCCGCCACTGTGAGCCCAGCAAAGATGTGGGCTGCAGGGCTTGCAGCAGGGGAACGCTGCCTTTGCTGCAATCCTCCCTCTGTGAGCCGCCAGATGATGATTCTCACAGTGGGAGCAGTGTTCCTGGAGCTGGCCCCTGCTACACTCCCTACAGCCCATGTCGGCTGTTGGGTCTGCAATAAAGGCAGTATGGGGAACAAACTGGGGCCCCCAGCACCAGCAATAGAGCGTGATGGGATCCCATTGTGGCTGCATGTATAGAGGGGTCCTGGCTGTCAATCAGGTAATAAATCACGACAGGGTGGAATTCAGCTTTTTTGTGGCTTTAGACCGAAGTTCTGTGCCTTCCTGTAGAGCTCTACAGCAGAACAAGAGCAATTCTGAAAACTTTGATATTTTAAATACTCTAAGTGACACCTTTCCTGCTTCCTTTCTCTGCTTTAGCCTCTTCTGCTTCTTATGTTACTGTATGTCTTTTGCTTCCATGTTTGCATAGCTGGCTGCTGAATCCCTCATCGCTTCTTAAAGAAGTCATAAAATAACAGGTATAAAAGTTGCTGAAAAAAATTGTATGATTACTTATAAGATACAAATAGATTTATGTTGAATTTTGGCCAGAAATAAAAATGATTTGGCAGTTTGCATGGCTGCCAAATTGCATTATGTACAGAAACGCAGCAATGGAAGTTCTGGCTAGTAATATGCTAGGAGCACAAACCCAAGAGTGTGGATCCATAGTAAATTTGCAAAATTGTTTTGAAAAATTACCAGCCCAAGCAGATAATCTATTTATCCATCCTTGTGATGACAGTCATAGAGAGAAAGTTTCCACTTGCCTGTGGCAGGTGAGATTCTACTTTTTGACAGGTAGACTCTTGTAATATTATACTACTTGGCAAGTAGAATCTTGCAATATTATACTACAAGTTTCTTAATAATCAGAAATCATTGTTGTTGATTTTCTGCTATAAGAGAAGCAAAGAGAAGTCTGTAACATAGTAACGATAGACAGAAACATTGATGGTCAATTTTTAAGTTTGGTAAATAACCTTTCATATTGGAAAAACTAATTCCCTTTCATGGATTATTTTTTAGAGTGTGTGTAGAGGTCCCGTTGCCCGATGGAATACTGTTTTGGATTGACTGCCTTGCACATAGCCGTGACTTTACGACTGATGACACATCCTGTTATGAAAAGCAGGTCATGCATGTACAGAGCATTTCTCACTGGGCACCTGCTAACATAGGACCTTACAGTCAGTCAGTCAAGGTAAGCAATCTTGATTCTTTCATGTGAATTCTTTACTACTTTACTGAAATGACTACAAAGTTATAAAATTTGTTTTTCCTCTTTTGGGCAAATTCATATCAATGGGAAAAAAGAACAAAAACTAAGGTCAGGCCTTTTTGCCTTTATGACGTGATATAAAACAGGACTGTGCAACTTCTAAGTGGCCAGGGGCTGAATCCCTCATGGGCCACACCAGAGTGAGCCACAGGCATCTGTAGCTATAGGACAAAACACATACCACCTTCTCATGCCCCTTATGTCGCTGCTGTACTGCAGGGATCTAGGTATACCTTCAGCTTCCCATACAACACCACAGTGCCCCACCCCCTGGGTTGGGTGCTGGCAGCTAAAGCCATAGGAGGGAGGGGAAGCCTAGAGACTCTGGTGCTTTTACAGCCAGAGCAATTTGTAGAGCAGCAGGCAGGCAGGAGCCTAGGGGCTGCAACTTAACCCTTTGCAGGCCATGTGCAGCTCACAATTGGATTGCTCTGATTTAAGAAAATAATACAAAAATGAGTATATACATTTTCATTTTTAAAATTTCTGCATACAAAAGTGTTCAACTAAACTGAAAATATAGCAACTCTTTCATTCTGTGATTGTCAGGCAGGATAAGGGACAACTATTTCCTGTTGAGATTTTAAGAAAAGCCTCTTGAGTTTCTGTGCTATAATTCTAACAAGAAGTACTTGCAATGCTGGTATATTTCTGTATACTTTCTAGTATGTAACTATGCACTTACAACATCTCCAGGTAGTTGGAATCTCTTAATGTTAAAATAGAACAAGTCCAGAATTTTTCTTAGGAAAGTCAGTCCCTAAACACATGAACATTGAATTTCCTTGTGAAGCTCTAAAATCTTATTTACCACATAAAAACAAAGCCAGATTTATGAAGTACTTAATATTTTTAAAATTTACATTTAAAACAAAGTGAATGAAATGTGATATATTGTAGTGGTGTGTAACCTTGTGGCCCTGCTGGCCAGATGAATGGTATGGGGACAGTCCCTGGGATGGATTAAGCACTGCCCCTTTCCTGCCCCACTCACTGGGATTGGGCCCCAGCACTGCCACCTCCCACCTCTGTGTGCTGGGATAAAGCCTTGGGGGTTTGGCACCTCCCCCTCCTGCCCCTGTGCACCAGGGTTGGATCCTAGGGACCTGGCACAGCCCCGCTGATCCCATACACTGGGATTGGGCCATGGAGGCCTGGCGCTACCCCCATCTGGCCCCCCCACAACAGGATTGGGCCTTGGGGCCTGGTGCTGCCCCTGCACCAGGATTGGGTCATGGGTCTTAGCACTGCTCCTTCTTCTGCCTGGCCCTGCATGCTGGGATTGGGTGCCTAATCCGGTGCACAGGGCCTGGGGCTCCCCATGGGTCTGGAAATCTGGCAGCAAGGGAATGGTGCCACTATTTCCCCACCACCAAATTGCCAGACCCATGGGGAGCCTCATGGGCTGGCTGACAAGGTGCTGTAATCCAGATCTGGCCCACGAACTGTGGGTTGAGTACCCCAATATAATGGATTGAGAGAAAAATAGGAAAGCATGGCACTCCTCTTTACAACAATATCAACCATCACAGATGTTTGTCTAACTTACTCTTAAAAGCTTTTGATGGAGATGCCATAGCCTTGCTCAGTAATCTGTTCCAATACTTAGCCACCCTGAGAGTTTAAAAAATGGGTTTTCAATCTTTTTTAAGGAGTGTACCCCTTTTGCGTACAGTTCTGGCTGATTGGGGGAGGGCTTGCACGCGGTGGCGGTGTGGGGTGGTGGATGGCAGCACCGGCCACCACATGCGAGCTCCCAATGTGTCCAGGTGGCCCCTGTGCAGCCCACAGAGGGGAGCCACTGCCCTGCCTCCCTGGCCCTTCTCCTGGGAGGTGGCGGCGCTCCATCCCCACCCACCTGCATGTACCTCCTAGCCCCTTTCCAAGTACCCCCGGAGGTACATGTACCCCTGATTGTCAACCCCTGGTTTAAAAGATCCTTTCAAATATTCAACCTATAGGACATCTATACATGTGACGGACCTGTGCTGAGATGTATGCTAATTAGCCCCCATTGGAGCAGACTTGGTTGATCAATTCTGCTGGAGCGTGCTAATTAGCACGCTCCAGCAGCCTTCATAACACTGTATTCGGTGTGCCCACATTTCAAAATTGTTGAGGGGGGAGTGCTTTCATTAAAGTTTGCCATTTTGAAGTGCAAGATGCTGAATACACGTGACATTGTGAGCTCTCTAATTAAAGCAGCTCTAAGAGCTGATCTAATTAAAGCACACCCCTTCCCCACCCCAGAGCCCATAGTTCCAATATTTTATTACCAACCTTTATGCATTTGAAGAGTGTTATCAGATCCCCCTTCAGTCTTCTCTTCTTCAGACTAAACAATACCAGTTCTCCCAATCTTTCCTTATAAGTAATATTTCCTAGACCTCTCATTTTTATTGATGATTTGTATTTGCTTTCTTGCCCCTACCATTTCCTGTGCAAAAGAAAGCTAAATCTAGGGCATATATATATGAAGTTGACCGGGTGGGCAGGGAGAAAATGCAAAGAACCTTGCATTCATTCCATGTGCTTGTACTGAGGCAATTGCTTTCTGATTGTAGCACAGGTGCTGAACTAAGTTAATGTCCTACATGCAGCACAGTCTGGATTCTGGCCAGCACGTGGGTTGGAAACTACTGTAGTGACACTGATGGATGATGTCCTGCTGTCAGTGGATGGTAGGCAGACAATCATTCTCATATTCCTGGATCTGTTGGCAGCATTTGACAGACAGCCATTTGATGCTACTGTCTTTCTGAGAGCAGAGACTTAAAGGGCTGCATTTAAATTGTTTGATGTTTTGGGGGGAAGGATACCTTCAAGAAATAATAATAGGAAACAGCACCTGCATCCTCAGAAGGATCTTTTTAATTAAAACTGAATGCGGACAGGTTATTGATGTCATGGTGCCACCTTCTTTGGTTGAAGATACTCACTTTCAGTTGATCAGTTGCAGGCCAAGGTTTATTCTTGATTCTTACATCCTCACTGATGCTACACTTACATAAAATTATCTGATATCTCTTCAGTTGCCCTAGAGATTCCACCTCTTTCTGGGTGATAAAGACCTGATCTCAGTTGTCTACCTTTCTTACCTTTCTACTGGAGTTCAATGATGGAATGTAGTTTGGCCTGAAACCATTGCCTCCTCCCCTTAGAAGGCTCTAGCTAATATGTAATGCTGTTATATATATAATTAGCAACAGGAGATACTCTAAACACTTCCTTCCTGTCCTCTGCTGTTTCTATTGGTCCATTATATTATGTCATTTTCAAAGTTTTCATCATTATCTTCCAAGGTGGTCAGTGGCTTTGGCTAAGGCATCCCCTAGAGCTCTGGAATGAAAAGTACTGTCCTTAACTCTCCTCTGGCATAGTACATATTAACTCTCCTCTGCAGCAGTGGTTCTTTCAACCATAAGAATAAAGCCTCTCTCTGCAGAAAACAAGTTTCTCAGGACCTGTCTCAATCTTTGGGATGAACTGCCATGGGAACTAAGGTTCATATGAACATTACCACCTTCTCTGAGAGTAAGGTGAAGTTCTTTGACCTTGTCTTCTGTACCATGAACTTATAATATGTACATGTAAAGAACTCCTTAAGAAAAGCAGTGCCTTCTACATATAGATCTCCTTCTGGGTAGAATGAGAAAAGACAAATACTAGTTTATTGCTTATTGTGCTCCTGGAAAGTAGTTGCAGGTTATAATGATGAGTTCATAATACATTATATGGAAAAGAATTCCACACTGCCTAGCAGAAAAGAAAAGGAAGAGAGCCCATGTATGTATCCTTTCAAAGGAAGTTTAGTTGCTTTTTTTCAAAATTTAGCCAGTTCTTTTGAGAGCTTCCCTGCTGCAGAGCCTTAAAACCACAGTTATACTATGGACCTCTGATGTTATTTTGTCAAGAACGTCATTTCTCAGAATCAGTTTTTAAATATATCCTGGTTTTCATTTATACTTACATTAAGCATCCTTGACTTCTCTGAAAGTACATCTCTATTTTGCAAAAATCTGACCATTTAAAATCAAAAGCATAATAGTTCTTACTTAATGTATACTGTATAAAACCAATGGATAGAAATGTCCTATGAAAAAATAATTATTTTATGCTTAATATTTTTAAACTTAAAGCTCAGATACAGATCCCTATCATTGTAAATGCCCTTTTTTAAAAACTAAAAGTTTCTAATTGACTTGACTGTGTTTCAGAATCTATTCAGGCAATATTGTATGCAGGCTGCTCAGATCTTTTTAAAACTGTTGGCAGAAAAACTCAAGTAAAGCATATACAATTATTTTCCTGAATAAACTAGCACATGCTTTGTATTTTATTTTATTGTATAGAGCTAATAAGTAGGATAGAATGAGGAAAATAAAGTTTGGTGGTTTAATGTTTAAAGTCATGAACTTCTGTTGTCATTACAAAACCATATGTTTCAGCATAAAACTGGCCCACTTCTCACAATAGACTGTAACAACAAAGGCATTACAGGTCAGGATTGATGTGCACTGGCAGAAGTACACAGCTGCCAGCTAAAAAGTGTAGGTAGTTCATGCAAATAACAGTTATTCACACCACAGGCTCAACAAATCACTCAGCAGAGCATCAGATTAATTTGGTAGAGATCTTGCATGATCCTGCCAACCATTCCGCAAGGAAAAAAAATTAAAAATTTGAAATATACTATGAGAGTGTCCTTCTGACCTCAGGCTGACAGAAGCAAAACATCACTTGCTGGATACAGTTAGGATCTGAATTGCATTCAAAATAGTTATAGCAAAATCAGAAAACATTCTCTTTTTGGAAATAGCATGCATTAATATCAACCTCAAAGCTTGTACTCCTAGCTTGTGGGACATTATTTATGGTAGGATATAGAGTAGTTGATTTTCCCATTTTTAAGAAAAAAATTG